AAGGAAGGAAGGAAGGAAGGAAGGAAGGAAGGAAGGAAGGAAGGAAGGAAGATGAGCTGTATAAAAGCTGCTACTTCTCCAGCACATTCTAAACTTAAAGCCGCTTCTTCATTCCATCTCATTACTCAAAGTTGTTGAAAGATCTTAAAGAGTATTGATTCTCCAAGAACCACTATGTGAGTATTCCATGCAGCTGAAAGCAAGCGTCACTACAGTGGCATTTCTCTTCCCAGCTATCCTTAAACTGGAATAAAAGTCTACAATGATAACTACATTTCAAAGTTATGAAAATGTATGAGCTTTTATCTCATTTTCCACAAACTCAAATATCTCAGGCTTGATTGATCTGATACTAGCACAATATATTAGGCTAGCTGACACTTTCAGAACATACCAGAAACTCACAAAACTGCACTACTTCTATCATACTTGGCGGAATGGTCTATGATATCAAGAAGTTGGCCACGGGCTTTAAAAAAAAAAAAAACTTCAGTAGAGATGTCTGCATCAAGGTTAATTTACTAGTTCACCACACATTGGTCTTTCTTCAGGTATTTATGGAGTTATGCTCCACATTATGATATTCTCAGCAAATATTCATTGTTGGATGCTACAACCAGTTCTCTAAGAACACAAAGAATGCAAATATTCAAAGTACATGAACGATTATACACAAGTCAGAACTGAAGATTAGTTTCCTATGAGAAAAAAGGATCTAGGGAGAAACTTTTTTGGTGCTATTTATAGGACTTGATACATACTCATGGAGGAAAGTGTGTGTGTGTGTGTGTGTGTGTGTGAGAGAGAGAGAGAGAGAGAGAGAGAACAAAAGACAGAATAGAATATCTTCCTGTTATTCTATTTATAGAATAGAATAATTCTATAATATTCTATATATTTAGAATATATTTATATTCTAAATTTATATTTAGAATAGAAATTTATATTCTATTATATTTAGAATAGAAATTTCTCCGGCTCCACCTCAAGTCCACAATGTGACTGCGCTGGACTCACCTTTACAGAATGCTTGAGTAAGTAAACTGCCCTCAATGCCTACAAAGCCCAAGAACCCCAAAAGGCTAAGTTATTAATTTTACATTAAGGTAATTTAATAGGATTTGTGCTGCTGTGGCAATATTTATCCACTCTATGCTGCATTTACATTTTCTACCTTTCATGTTTTCATTATTTCAAGAGAAAGAAAAACTTGAAAATAAATGACTATATATATTTTAAATACAAACTCCTCATTCCCAAAGAGTTCATTATAATAGAGTAGTAAAAAGAAGGTGAAGAAGACAAGGTTCAGCAGGTAAGGGCGGTTGGTACCAAGATTGATGGCCTAAGCTATAACCCCGGGATCCACATGGTAGGAGAGAAAGAATTTCCCCCCCAAAAAGTGTGTGTATCTGTGTGTAAGTATGTATGTGTGTGTGTGTGTGTGTGTGTGTGTGTGTGTGTGTGTGTGTATGTTTGTAAAGAGAAAGGAACTAGATAGAATTATTTTCTTTCAAATATTCTGGTAAAGTGGTTCTGTTTTAAGATAACAAGCAACTATATCCTGATACCAAGGGATGAGAAGCCTAGTGTGGCGGCTTATGCCTGTAACTGTGTAACTGTAGCACTTCAGTGACAGAGGCAGGAGAATGCCACATGCTCAAGGCCATTATGTAGTTGAAACTACATAGCCAGTTTCAACCCTGTCTCAAAAGCTCCAAAATTAAAAAGGAGGGAGTCACAAATTCTAGAAGGTCATTTCCACTCAGTAACTATGAAAAAGTACTATTTGTTACTTCTTCAGTGACATAACTGTGATCATCTGGAATACGATCACGTACTTGTTTAGCTCACTAAGTTAAGGTTAATGTGTGGAAGTTGGTGTGGCAGAAATGGTAAGTTAGGTTTTAATTAATTTTTTATTTCCAGCCTGATCAGCTTCCCTTTTCCCTTCCTCTCCTCCCAGTTTTTCCCCCTCCCTTCTCCCCCATCCACTCTTCTTCCTTTCTTTTCAGAAAAGAACAGGCCTCCCATGTACATCAGCCCAGCCAAGGCATATCAAGTTACAGCAATAAGACTAGGTACCTCCTCTCCTATTAAGGCTGGCAAGACCACCTAGTGTGAGGAGCAGGGTCCCAAAACTGTAACAGAGTGAGAGACAGCCCCTACTCTCACTATTAGGCGCCCCACAAGAAGACCAAGCTACACAACTGTAACTTATATGCAGAGGGCTTAGGTCAGTCCCATGCAGGCTCTCTGGTTGTTGGTTCTGTCTCTGTGAGCTCCTATGAGCCCAGATTAGTTGTTTCTATGAGTTTTCTTGGAGTGTCCTTGACCCCTCTGGCTCTTACAGTCCTTCCTTCCCCTCTTCCACAGGATTCCCTGTGGTCCACCTAATGTTTGGCTGTAGCTCTCTGCATCTTTATCGATGAATAGGTATGTGAAGCCTCTCTGATGACAAACAGCAGGGAACAGGTGGCAGGAGTACGGAGGGAAAGAGGACTGAGAGAGACAACTGGAAACAGGGAACATCTGTGGGACAGCTGGAGACCTTGTGCAATGCAAACTCCGAGGAATCTATGAGAGGGAGCCTAGCTAAGACTCCTAGCAATGGGAGTTATGGAGCCTGAACTGGCCATCTCGTGTAACAAGGAAATACGTCCCCTGGAGGGACTGGGACCCTAACCCAGCCACATAACCTTAGACCTACAATCTGCCCTGCCCACAAGATGTGCTAGAGTAAAGGTGGCACAGAAATTATGGGAGTGGCCAACCGATGACTGTCTGGCTTGGGACCCATACCACGACAGGGATCCCAACTTTGACACTTCCTGGAGGGCCAAGACCCAGAGGCTGGACAACCCAGAGACCAGGATAGACCCAAACAGGACTGGCAATGAAAAAAGCCCATGAAATGATGCCTAACGATATTCTGCTATACTCATAGACTGTTGCCTAGCCCAATTGTCATCACAGATGGTAAATTTGGTTTTTTGGTTGTTGTTGTTTTGTTTTGTTTGAGACAAGGTTTCCCTGCCTAACAGTCCTAGCTGTCCAGGAACTACAGCAGCTCTTGTAGATCAGGCTGGCCTCGAACTCACCTGCCTCTGCCCCCTGAGTGTTGCAATTAAAGGCATGCACCACGACCGCCCGGCAGATGGTACGTTTTAATTACCTTATTTTACAATTATTTTATTTTGATATGCTGGGAACTGAACTCACACACAGAGCTCACGCATGCCAAGCATGTGCTCTGTCACTGAGACATACTCCCAGTCCTCAGAACACTCAGAAAACATTTGAGATAAGAGGCAAAAGATATAGCTAATGTATGTTAAGAAGCCCTGCATAATTAGCTCACTGGATAGAAATTATGAAGGATCTAAAAGGTAGTGACCTAGCCCATGTATGCAGTGAGCAGAAATGATAAAATCAAATATGTTCCACTTGAGTTTATCATAAAGTTCTGGTTATCTCTAATGAGCCCAAGAAAAACCTCCAAAAAAATGAAAACAACTTCAATTTACATTTATTTTTAAATTATGAGTATCTTAGTGGGTTTAGGAAAGGCCACTGGCATTATCAGATTCTGTTAAATGTACTGAAAAAATGATCAAAGTTGTCTTTGAGAACTCAATTCTATAAAACTTTGATTCCAGGTACAATATAATTAATGAGCAAGTATAATTAATAAAGCATATTGGGTTTCCCAATTTATTCCAAATAAAAGGTTTCCTCCAAAAATTGCCTTTAAATGTGAACTTGCAAAGTATGTGAATATGCCGGGTTTTGTAAATGAGAAAGACCATTCTCAAAAGCCCATGAGCATTCTCAAAAGCTGGGGCTTGATGGCCAGCAAGCCTAGTCAATTGGTAAGTCCTGCGCTTCTGTGAGATGCTATCTCAAAATAGAAGGCAGGCAACATCTGAAGAGCCATACCTGAGGTTTGCTTCCATTTGCAAGTACATAACACACATATATGCATATACACATGCATGTACACACATACACACACACACACACACACACACACACACACACACGAGAGAGAGAGAGAGAGAGAGAGAGAGAGAGAGAGAGAGAGAGAGAGAACGCAACCTCTCAAGAAAAAGAGAGAGTGCTCAACGTCCCCAAAGGAGGAGTTAGGGACCTGGGAGCGATGATACAGTAGAGTCTCAAAGATGTAGCAAACAGATTCGACGTGTTCCAGATGTGAGGAAAAATTACATTTCAAGGAGAACTGTGAAGACATTTGCAGAGAAAGAAGGTCTGAAGGTTTTGTAAAAGAACAGGAAAGCAAATGGATTCGTGAAGCAGTTCCAAGCTACAGGGCTGCCTTGGGCTCATGGTCGCTAACGCATAGTGGGATCGATGAGCACAATTTAGTTTCCTCCAGCTACATTCAGCTGCCCTGTTGTCTTGGTGTAATGCATAACAGGTGGAGCTTTGATTTTTAACTTGGAAGATTCTGCTCATTCCAAAGCAAACTTGTAAGAAAAAAAGCAAAAAAAGCAGCTGAAAGCATAAAGGGAGTAACCATAAATATGGCCCTTTAAAATGATGAAATGGTGCTGGAGAGATGGCTAGGCAGTGAAGAATGCTTAATGCTTTTGCAGAAAGGACTCAATTCGCTTCCCAGCGCTCATATCTGGTAGCTCACAACTAATGTTAACTCCAGCTCCAGGGGATATGAGTCCATGTTCCGGCCTCTCTGGATACCTGCACTAATGTACACATACCTTTAGATACAGCACGTACATGAAAGTGAAAACAAATATTTGAAAAGAAAGATGACACGGGATAGAGGATGAAAATCTAGGAAAATGTGGGCCTGAGAGATGGCGCAGTTGGTAAGGGGATGTGCTGCTATGTCTGACAATCGGAGTTCAATCTCCCAACCTCCATGGTGCAAGGAGAGAGCTACTCCCCAGAATCGTCCTGACGTCCACACATTTCCTGGCATGCATGTGCTCACACAGTCACACATACACAGAATAAATGGATTTTTAATGAAAATATTAAAATACACATGCTCCATGAAATACTGAGGAGGTGGTAGTAAAATCAGGGGACGGGGAGTCTCTTATTTCGGTGGCTGTAACTCTGCCTCCCGCTTCTAACACTTCCTTCTCCTATTGTCCTCCCTTCTTCCTTTGTGCTTTTCTATTCAGTCCCAGTCTGCCCCCAGGCTGGGAGCAGGCAGTGAGAAAGGGAGACAAAGTTGAATGTTAGGTATGTGTGCAGTGGCTTGAAAGCAGGCAGGATCAGGTAGAGGGGGGTGGGCAAGTGAGGGCTGATGAAAGGAGAGAAGAAAACACCCCCTCCTTTTTCTACTCCTCCAAGTTTGGGTTAAAGGTCAACACATCAAGAGGCACACTGCCTCTAGAGCATTAGCAATTAAATCCTGTCATTATGTTTGTTCCCAGCCTCAGTGTGCATGGCTTTTCAAAATGATTGGATCAGGGCAGACTTTCTTTTTTCCCTGTCTGGTTTAAAGGTGCATTTCTACACTCAGCAAACGTCCAAGTCATTGTATAGCAGAGAAATGCCATTACTTCGCCTCTTGACATACACTGCACATAAATCTCTCCATAGGAGGCCCTGACCAAAATGGGAAGAATTCTCTAGACTAGCAAATTGTTCCCATGAACTATTCAAGCTTTGAAGCCTTTCTGAGAGACAGATTTGGCAGAACATGTTTTTTTTTCTTTCTTTTAAAATGATTATGCTAGTGCTAATAAGACACAGCTGAAAACAATGCCAAGATCGACTTACAGAAGTTAAATATGATTATTTTATTAAATAATATTCTCTAAAAAAAGAATGTTCTCTCTTAAGCAAGCATGTATCTGTTATACAACACGAGGAGTTTTTGACATTAATTCTCTTTCCCTACTGTAACCCGTCTTAGTATTTGTAGACGGTACTGATAACTATCACGTTTATCTGTTTATTCGTTTACTAAGCAAAATATTTACTGATATTTAGTCAGTTATAGCATAAACTATGGACCAAACCAAAAGATAAAGCAGTAAAATATTGCTCAGACAAGTTATAGGGTAAATAATACAAACAATGGCAGTACAAGGAAAATAAATACTAATTAAGTAAAAGCCAATTCATCATGTGTTATCTAAGAGTTTGTGTGTTTTCTGCCACCTCAACTTCTCACAGTCCTCCCTTACCTTTTGTAGTGTGTAAGTGGGGAGATTGGGTCTGTTTGTGTATATGTGGAGGCCAAAGGTCAATTTTCACTGCTGCTTCTCGGGAACCATCTGCCTTGTACTGTGTTTTAAATTTTCTGTTATTTTATGTGTTTTGCCTGCATATATTTCTGTCCATCAAATGTGTGCCTAGTGCCAAAGGTGGCGAGAAGGTGTTGAGTTCCCCTGGAACCAGAATTGTACATGGTTTTGAGCTACTATATAGGTGCTATGAAGCAAACCCAGGCAACCCAGAAGAGCTTACTGGGTTAGATGGCTCACTATCCTAGGCTGGCTGACCCACGAGCTCTGGGGATCCTTCTGTCTCCATATTTCTAGTTGTAGGATTGTAAATGCACACTCCCCTTCCAGGTTGTTTTACCTGGGTCCTGGTGATCAGTGATTGAGACCCAACCCTTACTGTATTTCCTTCCTACCTGGAAATCTTTAACAGTTCTCATTGTCTTTTCTTTTAAAAACTCTGCTCAAGTCTTAGTTCATTTAAACAATGGCCATGTGTTTTTCCCTTCCATAGATTCACAAAACATTCCCACTTTGTAGGACCTTCCCTTCACTTGGACACCACTGGCGCTGCTATTTCCCATAATCCAAGCACAAGCTATATAGGGATTCAAGAACAGCAAATTGGTTTTCAAAGTGTGCCAAGTGTTAATGCATGCATGTAATCCTAACACTTGGGAAATGGAGGCAAAAGGATAAAAAAAAAATCAAGCTAAATAGGGCATTCAAAACCAGTCTCGGTTACATGAAATCCTGTATCAAAAAAATAAAGGAAAATGAATCTATGTCCCAAGTGGAAGAAAACTACGTAACAATCCCATAAACAAATTATGCCAAAGGAAGTGTCAGTAAACGGTGACTATATAAGAGAGATACCCTTTAGAGCCATTATAGGAGAACAGGAAATTACAAGAGAACTCAGCTTACCGGAGGATGGTACTGGATGCTGATCCCAAGTGAAACAATTTCCCAACTTAGCAATGCATGTCAAGGGAGAACAACCTATTAGGGCAGAGGACTTTTGGTGAGTTTAAAAAGTCAAACCCACACAGGCTAGACAAAAAACAGTATTGCTCATTTTCCTTATTTTTGCAGCTAACAGCCAGCCTTTGGAGCTGTTGCTTTCTTTTCTGTCTTAGTCATCTAGCCTAGCATGAGAAATCAATTTGCTTTTTGTGGGCTATTCATCTCATTTCATTTCTTTCCCTTATCTCTGCCACATGAGCTATTCTAATCTCACAGACATTTTGGACAAATACCCAGTTATAGCTCAACACAGAGACAATAGGAAGATGTAGAAAGAAACGACAGCAACAAGGGAAACAGTTCTGTCCCAAAGTAGAGGAGACTCACACTGAATCAGTAAGCATCAAATGACTTTAGACTCAAAATATCAGCACCAATGTTTATCCATAAAACAATTTGCCACTTTCTTGGCAACCAGAACTTAAGACACAGTACTAACCATCTCCAACACACAGGGTAGCAGCACTTAACATTGCTGGGGATCCGTATCTCTAATTACCAAGAGACTAGACACAAAATGAGAAGGTAGGCCTGGGACCAAGTTTAACAACAAGGCAACATGAAACTCAAAAAGAACACAGTCCAGACTAGAGTTGGAGGGAATAAAAGATGGCCTTCATTTTAATTCTTTCAGAGATACGGAGTGTGGAAAGGAATTCAAGGCTGCTAATCAGCCTTGTGGACAGTTAGCTTGGTGTCAACAAACAAACAGTAAGGGTGTGATGTGGGCAAGAATGAAAGAAGTCAAGCTGCAGGGGCACTGGAAATAAGATGAGGAACCTGAATTAGTACTGAATTGGAAAAGCTTTAGCACTATCTTAAATGGGATTCACTGGTTCTAATATTCAGTAAGGTGGAACAAAAGGTAGGACTACACCAAGTTTGCAGTTGACCAATCAAATCTGAACTGCCACTTCAAGATTCCTGGGGCTCCCCTAACTCCTACGCTGTAATTATCTAATTACAACTTTCTTCCCAGAGTGACCCTGAACCATAGCTGTATATGATGTCCCATGGTGATGCTCTTTGCTAAGCGCAACTATCAGTCCTAGTCCTACCATCCCTGTGCTCTCTCGTACTAAGTTCCTGATAACTGCTATTTGCTACCTTTGTTAATACATACCCACGACATCTGATTAGAGAGTGCTGCCGCCCAACATAAATATTGTTAGGTGCTATCCCATAGCAACAGCTCCAAAGCTCATGCAAACCAAGGTTCCTGGTTTACAAAGCACAGTTCTAAAAGAGGCAAATCCCATGGGTAAAATGTATGTACAAAGTAATATTACAGATATTGACTTTGGACTGATGTACAAAAATTCGAGCATCTCATCTTTTGAGGGGGATTCCAAGATAAATTATATGACTTTGCATACACATACACTATGCCCATGAAAAGGTAGGATGCTGGAAAGGCTGAGTAAGGGAAACTAATAAGAAGCAGACAGCCTGTCATAATAAGAGTTACACCATCTGTTATTCCAGTAATCTACCTTGAATCAAGGTCATGCTGGGAACATCTATGACCACAAGAAAAAAATTTTGAAAAGAGGAAAATTTTATTCCAATTGAGTAGAGAGAAAATTCCAGTTTTCAACAAGTAGAATACAACAGAAATCTTACTTGAAAGTTTGGACTGATCTTACAAAGATTCCCTAGTACTTGGCTTTATAGAAATCCCCACCACCACCACCACAAACACACACAAATCTTTAAGGAGATAGTACTCCGGATATTGGTGGAGTAGATTCAGCTTTGGGGTTCAATCAGGAGTGTTTTAGACTTCACTCAACACAAGGGGGCACTGCAGCATTTTTCTTGCCAAGGCAAAGAGGACAGGCAAGTCAATGTATCTTCATCTGACTTAGTAAACACATTCCAGGCCTAAGACTTTGTGGGAGAATTTCACATAGCCACTGTTTGGAAAATGAGCCAGAAAATGTAGTAAGTGGCATGAGGGATGGAAAAAAGTCCATCAGAATGTCTTCAAAATGTCAATATATTTTAAATGAACAAAGTTGACTTTGTTCGTTGCATTTTAATGCATCTTGAAATATCCTTAATATTAAATGTCCAAAACCTAAATCATGCTTAAAATCTCTAAAATGTGCTTCTCCTTTTAAGGTACCACATTCTGCACACCATAATATTTTCCTTTTGTTGCGGTGGGGGGCGGGGAGAAAGAGAGAGACACTGTCCTTGAGAACAAAAGAGTTAAGATGGAGGAGGTGAAAAAGTATCAGGAGTAGAGGAAAAGAGAGGGTAAGCTACTCTTTAAAATCTTCATTAAAGCATCTAGCACCCTCCCAACATAATAGCATGCCTATTCCTTGATTTCTGTCTATTACCTTTGAAACCTGAAATGTGTAAGAAGAGCCTAAGAAAAGCAGTTCATAAGAATTACCCCAGGTACATCTATATTAAGAACTAAAACCATCCAGCCTGGACAGTGTAGTATTTTCATTAACATGAGAGTTTACCATCCCACTATTTTCATCAATATGATTATTCTAAAAGACTTTTGTAGGAAGATGAAAGTTAAAAATAGTTTTATTGTTTATTCCAGAAATGCTTCAATACAAAGTATGTGGCTGAGGGTGCAGTTCAGTTAGCAACATGCTCATTTAGTATGCGTGAAACCATCTGATCACGCCGCTCTATGAACTGAGGGTGGTTGTACTCCCAATATTTGGGAGGTGGGAGCACTAGGGACAGCAGCTCAATGTCCCTTGCATTCTTTCACTATCAGTATACACTCTCAAAACATCCATCCTCAGGACACAGGCCTGAGTTCAGATCTCACTGATGCCGTCTACTTCTGTCTTTGGGACAAATAAAGCAGGTCTCTGAGAGGATCCAAGTCATTGCCAAATGTATAGATGCTTATGCTGGATGGCTACTGATTTCCCTGTTGAGGGGATTAAGAAGTATATAGAGAAGCCAGATGAACACCCGGGGAATAATTTATTTCTAAGGTTCAATTTTTTATGTGTGAAAAAAGGGACATAAATACTCAGTGTAGAATGAGATCGCTTGTTCATTTCCTGGCCACCCAGACTCCCGTAATAATCACACAGAAACCATATTATTTAAATCACTGCTTGACCCATTAGCTCTAGCTTCTAATTTGCTAACTCTTACATCTTAATTTAAGCCATCTCCATTAACCTGTGCATCACCACAAGGTCATGGCCTACCAGCAAAGTTTCAGCATGTCTATTTCTGGCAGTGGCTCCATGCCTTCTTTGTGACTCCACCTCCTTTCTCCAAGCATTCAGTTTAGTTTTCTCTCTCAGGCCAAGTCAGTTTCTTTATTCAGCAATGGTATTCACAGCATACAGAGGGGAACCCCACATCAACTCAGGATATTGGACATGTTCTATTGTTGAAGTGGGCTGTCGTCAAGCATATAGTTTTCAGTATTAAGGTGATTTTATTATATGTTAGCAATGAAATCTAGGGGAGAGAGGGTGATGTTTACTCCTTAAAAAGATACTTCCACCTCTAGCTACAGCCACAGGTAATGATTCATGATTTCTAAGGAAGAATGATTCATGATTTCTGAGAAAGCACCAAAGTAACTTATTTTAAGAAACTAAGAGGAGCATCTTATATAATATAATATTATATAGTATAATAATGTATGCAAATAATAAAACAATTGGTGTAATATTTCCTATTATTTGGGAAATAGCCCAAATACCTGATAACCAAAAAGAAGAAATTTTAACTCATTCACTTTTTATTGAAATATCTGTAAATAGTTACCATATTGGACACATGAATCTATAAAAATCTTGGAAGATATAGTTTAATACACTGGCAGTGTACTTCCAAGCGACTTGAGATTAGCTGACCTAACTCCTATCACATTTCCCTTTTTAATCCCTCTTTCATGAGATACAAGACAAGTAATACAGCAGTCAACAGACAACACCAATCTACTGAGTTTATCAGACTAGGAACAGACATAACTGGAAGGACCAATTTTGCTATTTGCCACTCTTCCTTTTTTACCGACTGAATATACACATGAAAACTGCAATAGGCAAATGAAACACGAGACAGTGAACCATGTAGAGAATTGCTAGAATAAGGAAGTTATTCAAGGCTCATGAAACATGAACAAAGACAAAATGCAATCAGTGAAAAGACTTAAATATACAGTTCCATGAAGATGTCACTGAGCCAATTATATTAATAACTATTAATAATTAATTATATTAATTAATAACTGTCATACTTATGTAAGCATTCAAACTTGAAGTTGACCATTGAATATGGCAGTATCATGATGTTTGAGTCCAAAGAGTGAGAGAGCAAAAGTTATTTTAATGCTGGACAGTGGTGTCACATGCCTTGAATTCCAGAACTTGGAAGGCAGAGGCAAGCGGAACTCTCTGAGTTTGAGGCCAGTCTGGTCTACAAGAGCTAGTTCCAGGATAGCTAGGACTGTTACACAGAAAAACCCTGTCTCAAAAAAGAAAAGAACAAAAACAAAAGCCATTAGCTGAACTGAAAACCTAACACATTTAGAATGGCAGAATAAAATAAATGATCACAAGGACAGGCTTTTGCAATAATCTTGAGCTCCTTTGTAAGGAACAAATTTACTACTAACACATTTTCTGTGGTGTGACAACTAGCAAACTCGTGTGTGTGTGTGTGTGTGTGTGTGTGTGTGTATGACCCTGCACTGCAGCTGGAAATCTAAGAAGTAAATGTTTTATTTACATGAAATCAAAGATGTCTAAATGATACTTTCAACCATCAGTCCCAGACTCAGGCTGAGAAGAAGCCTTAAACAGTAAGTTTGACAGCTGAAGACAGAATTGTTATATTAAACATAAAAAAATAATTAAGATCCTACTTGTTTAAGCTTCTAGAGTTACAAGTAGTGATCTGGTCTCCTTACTGATCCTCTATTTAATTCTCTTTTTCATATCTTTTCTTACATTAGTATGTAACAGATGGGA